TTTTTTTTTCAAAAATATCGAAAAGCAATTTATGGAATTTAATTAATTAATTAATCATAAATGGATAAAAACAATAAATAAAATTTAATAATTAATTATCAAATAAATATTAATTTATAAATTTGGAAGAGATATCACAAAAATATTTATTTAACATTCATTATTTAATCTTAATATTTGCATTTAAAACATATATATATATATATATATATTGCTAATCAAGGAATTAAAATATGATGAACTGGATATATATCATTATTTTTTAATTCCTAGATTTTCTTTCAAAATAATAAAAATTTTAAACAATATTATAAAAACTATTGCAAAAAAATATTATCAATGAAATTCTTAAATTAATAAAAATACATATTTGTTAATTTAACTTTGAATTAATAAAAAAGTTTTTCTTTTATGTTTTTAAAGAAGAATTTAATACTTTTTTAAATAATTTAAATTGTAAAATAATTTATTTTTTTATTTATAAAAATAATCTATTTAATTCAAGTATTATATAATGTAGAATGAATTCAAAAAGTTGAATTTTTAAAATTTTAAAACTTTAAAAACTTTTATAAAAGGAATAAGAAAATTTGATTTCTCTTTGAGGTTTTAAATCATGGTATCTAATTAATCAAGATAAATAAAAAATAGATAGAAATCTGATTGAAGGAAAGTATTTAAGATTAAAATATAACTGAAAAAAAAGCTTGGCATTTATATAATTAATTTTAAAAGATATAATATATCACTAAAAGTTTCAAATGATTTGATCATTTTTGGAGAAATCTGAGAGTTGGCTTAAGAGCAATTAATTAATTAATTTATTTATTTAAGTAAATTTAATTTTTAAATTTTTTATTTTTAATAAATTCTTTATTGACTTACAAAAATATAATACTTATAAATATAAAAACAATAATAAAAGCTATCTATCTATCTATCTATCTATCTATCTATCTATCTATTTATTTATTTATTTATCTATTTATTTTAAGTTAAAAAAATTTTTCCAATAAATTAAAAAAAAAAATATTCAATTATTCAAACATTTAATATTTGTTCATCCTATTTTAGCCACTTGATTATCATCAGAATTTACAGACAACTAATCTTTTTGATTTATGGCACTTGTTTATTAAATTGAATACTTATGATTCATTCAATTAGGTATCACTTTTATAATAAATTTGCGTAAATTTTAAATAAATATCAAATAGAATAAACTATTAAATTAAAAATTATTTCTTAAATTAATTAATAAAATCACATTACTGGAATCAAAATGATAAAAAAATTAATCAAATGAAAGCTATCAAATAAATTCAAACAACTTTTTTGTTTTATAATCATTTTTATAGTTAAAAATATCAATATCCAAAACAAATAAACTGTTTTTACCTTAAATCAAGTGTCAAATTTTAGAGATTAATGCAATTTGCTAAACCAGAACCTAAGCCTGATGCACCAATTGCACCAATTCTATTGCCACTTTTTAAAAATTGAAGAAAAAAAATATAATTAAAGAGTTAATTAGAAGGAAAAATATGAAATAACAAAAGTAAAAATTAAAAATAAAAAGATTAATTAAATTAACTAAGAAAGAACAAAAAAAAAGCAAGCAAAAGAAAAAAGAAAAAAGAACTTTATAGTTTTAAATTAGTTTTTATAATTTAAAATATCACAATCAAAAATAAATAAAATGTTTTTACCCAATGCTAAGTGTCAAATTTGAGAGACTAACGCAATTTGCTAATCCAGAACCTAAGCCTGTTGCACCCATTGCACCAATTTAATTATCACTTTTTAAATGTTTAAGAAAAAATAAATAATTATAGAGTTAATTAGAACGGAAAAATGAAAAAAAAGTATATTAAATAATAAGATTAATCAATAATAAATGCAAAGAGTGAAAATGAGTTAAATTAAAAAGAAAGAACAAAAAAAAGCAAGCAAAATAAAAAGAAAAAAGAATTTTATTATTATAAATTAGTTTTTATAATTAAAAATATCACAATCCAAAATAAATAAACAGTTATTACTAAAGTTTAAGATTCAAACTTGAGAGATTAATGCAATTCGCTAATCCAGAACATAAGCCTGATATCCCTTCTTCACCAATTGTATTTAACCTTTTTAAATTTTGAAGAAAAAATACATAATTAAAAAGTAAATAAAAAGGAAAAAATATGAAATATTAAGATAGATTAATTAATAATAAAAAAAAAAGTTGAAAATATAATAATGAGTTAAATTAGCAAAGAAAAAACAAAAAAAGCGAGCACAATAAAAAGAAAAAGAAAAATGAGCTTTATTGTTTTAAATTAGTTTTTATAATTAAAAATATCACAATCAAAAATTAATAAATTGTTTTTACTCAAGATGAAGTGTCAAATTTGAGAGATTAATGCAATTTCCTAAACCAGAACCTAAGCCTGATGCACCAATTGCACCAATAGTACTGTTACTTTTTAAATATTGAAGAAAAAATATATTTTTAAATACTTAATTAGAAGGAAAAAATGAAATAATAAGATAGATTAATTAATAATAAGAGGAAAAAGTTGAGAGTTTAATTAATAAAGAAAGAACAAAAAAAGGCGAGCATAATAAAAAGAAAAAGAAAAAAGTGCTTAATTGTTTTTAATTAGTTTTAAAAATTAAAAATATCACAATCAAAAATAAATAAACTTTTTTACCAAAGATCAAGTGTCAAATTTGAGAGATTAATGCAATTTACTAAACTAGAACCTAAACATGATGCACCTTCATCGCGAATTTAATTGTAACTTTTAAAATATTGAAGAAAAAATTTGAAATAATGAGATTGATTAATAATAAAAGCAAAAGTTAAAAAAAAAATGATGAGTTAAGTTAACAAAGAAAGAAACAAAAAAAAGTAGGCACAAAAAAAAGAAAAAGAAAAATATCTTTATTGTGTTTTAATTAGTTTTTATAATTAAAAATACCACAATGCAAAATAAATAAACTGTTTTTACCTAAGTCTAAGTGTCAAATTCGAGAGATTAATGCAATTTCCTAAACCAAAACCTAAGCCTGAAGGACCCATTACACCAATTTTATTTTCACTTTTTAAATATTGAAGAAAAAATATATCATTAAATAACTAATGAGAAGGAAAAAATGAAGAAAAAATATAAAATAATAAGATTAATTAATAGTAAAAGGAAAAGTTGAAAATAAAATGATGAGTTAAGTTAACAAAAAAAAAGAAGAAAAAAAGCAAGCGCAATAAAAAGAAAAAGAAAAAAGAGCTTCATTGTTTTAAATTAGTTATTAATTATTATTTAAAATATCACAATCTAAAATAAATAAACTGTTTTTACATAAGGCTAAGTGTAAAATTTGAGAGATTAATGCACTTTGCTAATCCAGAACCTAAGCCTGATGCACCTTCATCACCAATTTAATTACCACTTTTTAAATATTGAAGAAAAAATTTATAATTAAATAGTAAATTAGAAGGAAAAAATATGAAATAATAAGATAGATTAATTAATAATAAATTAAAATGAGGAGTTAAATAAACAAATAAATACAAAAAAAAGCAAACACAATAAAAAGAAAAAGAAATAAGAGCTTTATTATTTCAAATTAATTTTTATAATTAAAAATAAAACAATCCAAAATAAATAAATAAACTGTTTTTACTCAAGATAAAGTGTCAAATTTGAGAGATTAGTGCAATTTGCTAAACCAGAACCTAAGCCTGATGCACCCTTTGCACCAATTTAATTGTCACTTTTTAAATATTGAAGAAAAATATATAATTAATTTGTTAATTTGAAGGAAAAAATGAAGAGAAATATGAAATAATAAGATAGATTAATTAAAAAAAAAAAGTTAAAATTAAAATGATGGGAGGAACAAAAAAAAGCAAGCCTGATAAAAAGAAAAAGAAAAAAGAGCTTCTTATTTTTAATTAGTTATTGTAATTAAAAATAAAACAATCAAAATAAATAAACTGTTTTTACCGAAGATCAAGTGTCAAATTTGAGAGATTAATACATTTTGCTAATCCAAAACCTAAGCCTGATGCGCCTTTAACACCAATTTTATTCAACCTTTTTAAATATTGAAGAAGAAATTTATAATTAAATAGTTAATTACAAGAAAAAAATATGAAAAAATAAGTAGATTAATTAATAATAAAATAAAAAGTTGAAAATAAAATTATAAGTTAAATTAACAAAGAAAAAACAAAAAAAAGCATGCACAATAAAAAGAAAAATAAAAAAGAGCTTCTTTGTTTTTAATTAGTTTTTATAACTAAAGATATCAAAATCCAAATTAAATAAACTGTTTTTGCCTAATTTTAAGTGTCAAATTTGAGAGATTTATGCAATTTCCTAATCCAGAACCTAAGCCTGATGCACCTTCATTGTCAATTTAATTATTTCTTTTTATTTATGAAGAAAAAATTTATAATTAAACAGTAAATTAAAAGGAAAAAATGAAGAAATAATATGAAATAATAAGAATAATTAATAATAAAAGGAAAAGTTGAAAATAAAATAATGAGTTAATAAATTAACAAAAAGAGAACAAAAAAAAGCAAGCATAATAAAAAGAAAATTAAAAAAAGAGATTTATTTTTTTAAATTAGTTTTTATAATTAAAAATATCACAATCAAAAATAAATAAACTGTTTTTACTAAAAATTAAGTGTCAAATTTGAGAGATTAATGCACTTTGCTAAAGCAGAGCCTAATCCCGATGCACCCATTTCACCAATTTTATTTAATCTTTTTAAATGTTGAAGAAAAAATATATAATTAAATAATTAATTAGAAGGAAAAAATGCAGAAAAAATATGATAATAAGATTAATTAATATTAAAAGCAAAAGTTGAAAATAAAATTATGAGTAAAATTAACAAAGAAAGAACAAAAAAAAAGCAAGCACAGTAAAATGAAAAAGAAAAAAGAGCTTTATTGTTTTTAATTCGTTTTTATAAAAAAAATATCTCAATCAATAATAAATAAACTGTTTTTACTCAAGATAAAGTGTCAAATTTGAGAGATTAATGCAATTTGATAAAGCGGAACCTAAGCCTGATGCACCTTCATTACAAATTTAATTGCCACTTTTTAAATATTGAAGAGAAAATATATATTTAAATA